AATATAAAAGCACACAGAATAAAACTTTAAACAACTATTTAAGCTGGATGAGATAGCACATACTTGTAGTCCTAGCACTCAGGAGGCTGGGGCAGAAGGATCACTGTGAGTCTGAGGTCAGCCTGGGCTACAAAGTAAGTTCAAGGCCAGCCTGAACCACATACTAAGATCCTGTCTCAAAAAGAACAATGACAACAAACCCCTACTATTTACAATGGTCCTGAATCTTTTCAGATTTATTTCTCAATTTAAGCTTAGTCCAAAGATAACTACTTGGCTGTTATACCCTTGCCCATATATTGATAAAAATAAATGATTCACTGACAGGCAATACAGTGTGGTCTCAATGCAAACAAAATAAGCAATAAATATCATTCTACATATCCCTAACAAGAACAGTTTAAGTAATCATAGATTATCAGGATGTACAACAATCATCGGAAAGCAGAAATAAATTACAAAATTCAGAAGTTTCTCTTATGTAAGTCTCAAGTCATTTATTTGCATCAAGCCTTGGGAATTAGCAAATTCAGCCTTGTTTATTAAGTAAGACTGAAAAAAACCCAATAACCAAGAGGTTGTAAGAGTTGTTCATAGTGAATATGTTAATAACTAGAAAAAACAACAACAAAAAACCCAAAACATCCAGATCAAAATCTCTCTAGTATTCTTTCCACTTCATATTATCTCACTTTGTTATCAAGTTAACAATCAGCACACAATTCCAGAAGATACATACAGCCAAATCTGAAAAAGAAGTTTCTCTGTCATTAAAATCGAAGTCAGTATAGTATTCAAAGACTTCTATCCAAAAAAAAATGAGATAGCATTCTTTTTCCTTCAGTGGAGAACATATGGCCTCATATACAGTAGGCAGAAACTGAAGTATACTCAATTCTCCAGTGTTTTCTAAGCTGAAACTTCATTGGCAGCTTCTTACAGTCATGATTTGACAAGTACATTAAAGAACAAAATGCTGAGCTGAAGATGCTGCTCAGTGGTAGAGGGCTTACTTAGTATATAGGAGACCCTGGACTGAAGTGCACAGATGGGGTCAGAGGAAGGACCCAATAACACAGAAAAGTCTGTTTGGTTTTACCATTGATAACAACATGAATGATAAAGAAAAAGAGGTAATAATCCGGTATGTCACAGAAGTAGGGCTAGGGGCCGGGGAGATGGCTCAGTAGAATAAGTGCTTGCCTGGCAAGCACAAGGACCTGAGTTCAATCCCTGGTTCTGCCAAAAAAAAAAAAAAAAAAAGAAGCAGGGCTAGTTAGCTAAAGTTGAAGTATTCTGAATCAACAAGCATGAATTTCTCCAACTTT